CAGAGACAGAGAGACAGACAGAGTGAGAGCAGGGGAGGGTCAGAGAGAGAGGGAGACACAGAATCTGAAGTAGGCTCCAGGCCCTGAGCTGTCAGTAACAGAGCCTGACATGGGGCTCTAACTCATTGAACCATGTGGTCATGACCTGAGCTGAAGTCGGACACTTAACCGACTGAGCTACCCAGGCTCCCTGTGTTTGTATCTTTTTAATAAAAACTTTATTGAGATATAATTTATACATCACTCAATTCACTCACTTAAAATATATGGTTCATTGGTTTTAGTATATTTATAGAGTTGGGCAACCATCACCACGTTCAACTTTAGAATATTTTCATCACCCCAGAAAGAAATGCCATACCTATTAATAGTCACCCCTCATTTTCTTCCAGTCTTTCAATGCCCCCTAGCGTTAGGCAACTCTGATCTACTTTCTGTCCTATAGATTTGCCTCTTCTGGACATTTCATATAAATGAAACTGTGTGATACACTGGATGGTCTACGGTGACTGGATTCTTTCCACTTAATGTTTTCAAAGTGCATCCATATATCAGTATTGTATTCCTTTTTTCTGCTAAGTAATGTTTCATTGTATATATATGCCACATTTTCTTTATCCATTTATTGATAGGCATTGAGTTTCCATTTTTTGGCTATTATCAATAATGCTATTATGAACATGAATGTACAGGTTTTTACATGTGCATATGTTCTTATTTTGTGTAGATTTCTAAGTTTGAAATTGGCAGGTCCTGTGGTTAAGTTTGTTTAACTTTTTAAGAAACTGCCAGTCTTTTTCCAGTTACTGCACCATTTTACATTCCTACCAGTGTTGTATTAGCATTCCAGTTTCTCCACATCCTTGCCCAACCCTTGTTAATTGTCTTTTTTTTTTTAAACCACTGCCATCCTAATGGGTGTGAAGCAGTATGTCATTATGTTTTTTTTTTAATTTTTTTAATGTTTTTTATTTATTTTTGAGACAGAGACAGAGTGTGGGGAGTGGGGGGGAAGGAGAGAGAGAGACACAGAATCCGAAGCAGGCTCCAGGCTCTGAGCTGACAGTACAGAGCCTGACAC